GTAGGAAACCTTTTATCCCGAGAAATTACCGCGAATGGCTAGGAAAATCATCGTTCGCCGTGGCTTCCATTTTCATCCAGCCCCGAGCGGATACGCTCGAGACGCTTCCAGCGGAAACGCGACTTGGTTGCGCGTCGAGGCTGCAACAGTCGTCGTCCAGGTGCCGTCTGTGTCGTTTAGAAAATGCCTGCACGTACGTCGTGGCTTCCACGGGACGAGGGACAGGGCAAACGAAAACGCCACGAGGAAATATTCCGCCCGCGAAAAAGTTTCTCGTCACAGCCTGGAAATTTCTTCGGTTTCCTCTTCTTACCCTCGACTTCTGTTTCTTCTTCGTTTAAATTGCTACGAATCGTCCCCCACGCTTCTTGAGATTTGGTTAATCCTTAAGTGGTCTCGATCTCAACTGAATCATTTTCCATCAAAGCATTTAAAAAATAATTTTCGAATAATACATTGACGTATATTAAATAATTACCAGCTTAAATTTCCCCCAATAATCTTCTTAAGGGTGAAATCAAGAATTTGAACTTTTTACGAGGAAAAATAATTCAGTTTTGAAATTTTGTTGGTAATCGTACAAAGTTTGATGAATTCGACGCAACTATTTTATCCGAGTGCGATAAACAACGATCCAAGAGGGGTTCTCTGCCGCGAAAGAAGGGAAGTTTCTGTTTAATAAGATTCCTCTCCAACGGGTTAAAAATTGTAATCCCGCGGGAGTACGAGTTACTTGGTTAGTATTATATATTCCGTTCCAGAGGTAAGTAGGAGCTCTCACGCTTCTAATTACTTATTTCTGTTGTACCTCGTCTGGATTAATTACTTTCTACGACGCTGGGCACAATTTCATTATAATAACGTATAATGTTTTAATTCTCTCGTTCTGTCGGGCGAATGTACAATCTAATATTCCTCCGCGTCATTTATTATTCGCTTTAATCGCAGGAACGAAGTATTTACCCGAACAAACGACGCCAGATTATTCGCCTGATATTATTTCAAACGCAACGAAGTGATTTAGAAATGATAGAAAATAGAAACTTTACCCTCGTGACGCTTCTCCGTGCGAGACAAAATTATTTTCTAACAAGTGAAGGTCTTTTCGAGTTTCAGAGGCCAGGAAAACAAGAAAGAACCTTTATCCAGCCGTGACTAATATTACGTTTCCCCATAGAGCTCAAACAACGTCCCTGTTTACTAGGACCCTTTGTACCCTTGTCATTCGGACGGGAAATATTTCTGTAATTAAAACGCTGGCGTTCAGACTGCCAGAAGAATGTTGCGAGCCGGTCTGCGGCGTGCACCGGTCCTTTTATTTGCAGATTTCTCGCCCCGTTGTACTTTAATAGAGGCGAAATTCCGCGATAACACGTCGAGCACGTAACATCCTTGTTCCTGTAATCTCGACGCCCGAGAGCCCGAGAGTTCGAAACTATAAGACGCCCGTAGGGTAACTTACGAAGAGATTCGACTCCTCTGGGGGGAGGGGGAGGGGGTGGAGGTAGAACGGAAGACCTGGAAGATATTTAATTTTCCCCGGAGCCGGTCGTCCGTTAGATACGAAAGGCGCGAAACGATAACCGGCCGTGCCCTGGCGAGAAGAAAACTGATACGCGAAATTTATATTTCAACAACCGCTTTTTCGCTTCTCGTAGAGAGACAATGATAGGAGTGATATTTACAATGTTAATGGGGCCATCTGAGTTCGTTGTACCGTTAAATCCACGGATTAACTCGATGCAGCGGAAAATGCAATATGTACATACGTTATTATTAGAGTAGATTCGGATTAGAACGTTAAGCGTTTAACCCATTTGCATCTTCGCTCAAAATATGAAGCTTGCTTTATAAATCAGAGGTACGGAACGCAGAGTCTTTCGAAAATTATACGTACAGTTCGCGTAAAAAGTATTCCTATAGTATTTGATGTCAAAGAGATGTTTTTTCACTGCGTAACTCGTTTTTAATAATGGTGGACTTGCACTGATTAGCTTCTGAACCGTTCACATGAGTGCAGAAAAAATAGGCGTGAAAGATAATTTTATTCTTGTTCCGAAAACAGTTTGAAAACATTTAGTAACACCTCCACAATCGCCAGATATAAATACATATGTATATAGCAACCGAGGGATCGGTCGAGCGCTTGTGAGAGCGTGAGCCCTCTGGTGGCGAGCATGGGAGGCGACGCCACAAACATATACATTTAAAAAGAAAAATTCGATCACATCATATTTCCACAAAAACTAATTTGAAAAAAGTATTCAAGAGTGAAATAAAATCTCCAGCACAGTAACAGACAAATTGGTAAATTTTATGATCCCTAGACTAGAATAAGTATTAAAGTTATTAAAAAATAACGATTTACAGTATCTTGAACACTAAATTCTTTTATTTTTTTCGTCGACATACAACTGTACGAATACATATTACACATACATTATTGTCAGTTTTTGATTCTTTTCTAGTATTTCTGTAAGATTTGTTTCTTAGACATCCAAGGATATCTATATATTTTTAATTTATTGAAATCATTAGAAACAAATGAAGATTTGTACTGCAGGAATACTTTTTACGCTGGGTGTATCTCAAAATAGAATCATTTCATATGATGTTGCAACATTTATTTTACTGCATAGCTGTACGGTAAATAAACTTAAAATAGATACTAAAATTTCTTACTCTGTATGGTAATCATTAAAATGATCACAAATATCACATTTGAAAACAATTTCTTTTCTAACTGATATCCAATTTACATACAGTGCATTGTTTAAATGTCCTTTTTCATTTAGCGACCAGTATCTCATTATCGATCTATTGGTAGATGAAGTCTCTCTAATCCTTTCGTTTTTACAGTATTGTTCAATAATCGTCTGCGCTAATTTTCGTTTATAAACACGAAAAGCTCGATCTTTTATGCGAATATTCTGCTTTTAACGATAAGCAACAGTTACGCGGATTATTCCGCTTGATAATGCAAACGAGTTAAACGTGCAACCTTCCCCATAGCGTCTGCTCAACAAAATTCCAAAACTCTGCCTCGTCTTTCCGCGTTAGAACGTTCCGTTGATTCACGAGATGCTCTTCGGCCGATTAAACCGTGCGGAGACAACATCGACGAAACGGTAATGTTCGATTAATGCGCGAGTCGCGTACACGGAAGGCGGCCGTGAAATGAAACGACGTACCCTTATCAAACGTCTAACGGCGAAAACTTCTCGGAGAGATCCGCGCCGTTTCGACGTGTTCCCGGTTCTGACGAGAAGGATTGCATTTCTCCCGCTCGTAGCACGACTCCGTCTCCGTCTGTCTTCCTACGAGTCGCGGGAGGATGCAGTCGGGAATAATTAACGAGGGTGAGAAGATCTTCTTTCCAGGGAACATACGTTTAACGATCCCCCCATCGCTGGGGGGGTTACAAGTGCCGCCACCCATGAACGCGAGGGTTGGAAAAGGGGTTCGCGAGGGAGAGTGACTTTTGGCGCAGAAACAGTCGTCGGACGTCACGTGCTTCTATAATTGTTCAGCCATCATGGAGACGTTTAACGATCACCCTAAACGTCGGTGATCCGATAGGGCCGGAAAATTTCAAACATTTTTCGCGCGAGACACGCCGCGTGGTCGACCTTATGAAATTTGTCGCGCGTCTCCATTGATTCATTGCGGTCGTTAGCACCCGGAGGGGGGATTTATTCCAGGATAAAACGTTCAAATATTAGACGATAAAGCCGAATGGTCGATCATCTTTGACGTTGCTATATTGTTTCACGTTGACTAAACTCACTGCGCTTTTATTTCTTTGTTATTTTCTAAACAGAAAACTGTGCTTGCGTCAAAATCGACGGTAGTCGAAGGATTAAGAGGTTTTTGTAACATTTATCCGGATAGTACAATAAAAATTACTATAAAATTTCGCGGTACGTTCAAAATAATGGATGTTAAATACGAGTAGATAAACTAATCGTTTGGTTATGGACTGCATTATTCGATTCTGTTTGAGACGTTAACGAACGTGACGTCGCCGCTATACGATTTAACGGCTTTCGTCTACGGTTTGATATATAATGACGTTTGCGTTACCACAATTTCGTCAATGCTAATAGACATCGAAAATTGGATACGAGCTGCGTGCCGATACGATTATTAGATCGCCACAGGTGCACCGATAGATCAATGGGAATGTTATTGCACGACTGTTAGCAGATTTGACAGATGTATATTCCCGTCAAACATTGTTTCGTCGCGACCGTTTCAGCAATACCCCTTGTAAATCTGTACCATTGCGAGGGCAAATCTTGAAACTCTGTTCGACGCGAAACGATCAATCCCAGTCGATTGTTTCGCGCGATATTTCGTTCCTGCAATCCTTGTTCTGCCTCCCAAAGACGTTTCAATAATTATAGTAAACTCTGGGATAAAAAAATGTTTGAAGAAATATTAGATCGTTCGGAAAGTTCCCGCCAATTTTTAGGGTAAATTAAAATCGAAAAAAATTAGGCTTACAATTTAGTTTATTCAATTATCTATGCACCATTTTGTTCGATGACCTTTTGCCACCTACTGGATAGTTTCATTATCCCCCTCTCGTAAAGTTCCCGCCAATTTTTAGGGTAAATTAAAATCGAAAAAAATTAGGCTTACAATTTAGTTTATTCAATTATCTATGCACCATTTTGTTCGATGACCTTTTGCCACCTACTGGATAGTTTCATTATCCCCCTCTCGTAACATGATCTTGGTTTGTCATTGAGAAACTTCTCCAGGTGCTGTTTGCAGTACTCCAACGGATTGAAATTTTATCTATCATTTAATCTATCAGAAATTGTATAATAGTAAAGTTTTACAAACGCAGTTCAATTTTTCTAGAGTGCACTTGCGCCATGTGTCGGAAATCGGCGGGAACTTTAAAGAAATTTAAAAAAATATGTAAAGTCGAGGATCCCAGAATTTTTATTGAAATTCCGTTGTATGTTGAATCGATTGCATTTTGATTTCAGGTGTCCTGGATACGTAAAAGGGATTTACACATACTCACGTCGTCCATTTACGCGTACACGGGAGACGAAAGATTTTCCGTGAAGCACCCGGAAGCATCCAACGAATGGACGTTGAAGATCGATTATGTCCAGCAACGTGACGCCGGGGTTTACGAATGCCAGGTTAACACCGAGCCCAAAATGAATTTAGCCTTCGTGTTGAGAGTCGAAGGTAAAGCTGCTGTTGCGCGACTATTATCCTACCGGTTAACCCTTTCGCGACCGACGCTTACAAACGAAATCCATGGAGATAAAACTTTGAGCAATCGCCAAGTGCTTCCATGTTTGCTCAAATATTTGGAGCAACCTTTGATCTTTCGAATGAACAAACCTTTTTTCGCGTACCTGAACGATTTAAATATTATCTTTACGTATGAGTCGAGCGTTACTTAAATATCAATGTAATTTTGCTACTTAATATTTTATTCCTGCAAATTCTTAATCGTTCCTCTGTGTAAACTTCCTCGAAAATGACACCTGATCGATGTTCTCCTAACATGAAAGAGTAAACCGAACATTGCGTGCACAAGAGCTCTATTTCTATAAAGATCGAAGAGCGTTGCAAACTTTTGAGCAGTAAAGTATACACACTGTCTCTGCTGTTCTAAATTATACGGTACGTGCGATATCAAAGCGTCACAACCTGAAAGTAAGTGATTCTTCAAGTAGAAATGTATTAGAAAACGTAGAATAAATATTATTCCGCTTCAAACTAGCATGCTATTATAAATTTACATCGTAGCTAGAATCATTTTCCTTCTTAAGAAGTTCAACCGTTGTTCTTTATACTTTTATCTGCATAACAAAGTCGCGTTTAAACTTCTATTTATCAGGAGAGCTTAAAATATGTGTCCAAAAACAACAATACGAAACGCAAAACCTTGCACTTTCCATAACTAATTTTCACTTATTTGTTTTCCACGTCTGTACTGTAAATAAAGTAAAGTTTCTGATTTATTTCTTACCGATCCCCGACTCTGATCTGAACGCTTGCAGATGGATCGCGAAAGGGTTAACTGGCGACATTACAAAAGTCACAGTATCGCTGTAAATATCATGCGTAATGGTGGTAGATGATAAATACGTTCGAAACGCTTGTGTACGTGTCTACCGTTCGATCGAAAGACACTTCCGGTTACCCTGACTACGCACCAGCATGCGAAAAAGGATTGAAGCTTACCGCCTTGCATGCCTGTCACCGTGAAGCGTACGAATCTTTAAGAGAACGGTTTTCTTTTCTCTTACAATTAGTACCGATGCATTCATCACCCACCGGTGAGAAACGTTTGATGAACGTGCCTGCAACTAAACCGTTGATTTCCGTCTCCCTGGTACATTTACCGAGCAATTTTTTCGCCTAATCGATTGCCTTGTCAACGTCGAACGCCCGTCGCGACCATACATCCGGTGATGCAACAGTGTCAATTAAAAGTTCTCGCGAATTATCGAGCATCGTTCTGTTCGCGCGTCAACGAGGCTCCTCTACTCTGGACGTAATCTACTTAGAACCGCAGACGAAGGGTACTGCGAAATTTTCAACCTCCAGACTGGAAGATCCCCTCTACGATTGCGATGAAACGAATTATTTTCAGAGACGTTGTTTTTGGAAACATATTGTTAGAGAAAGAATCCAGCATTGTTGTTTATTAATGCTTGTGGGTGTACGATTTTAACCCATTTGCATCATTTTACATGTAAAGAAGATAGAGATTATTAAAACCGAAAGACTAAAGAGACTAAGCTAAATGAAAAAGGACATTTAAACTGTTTTCAAATATTTGTGATGTTCCATCACGTATCGATCATTTTAAAGATTTTCGTACCAATAAAAAAATTTTAGTATCCATTTTAAGTTTATTTACAGTTTAACTTTTGAAAGACTTTCGCGTTTAGAGGGAAGATGCAAATGGGTTTTCAGTGACTGTGAGTCGACGCGAAAGGGGTTCGCGTAGCACAGTTTGAGAAACACTGACGCAGGGGAATTAGCAAACAACGCCCCGGCGTTATGCGATCGTTCCAGTCGAACGGCTCGCTTATTTTCGCGTCATTTTTCCTCGATTGTTTCGATTCGATTCAGTCAACGTTCCGCGTCATTCCGCGTAATTGCGAATTTCGCAGCTGCGTCGTTTATAACTTCGTTTCTTTCCTCGTGCTCCTCTGTTCCCCCCACCGTACAATGTATTGTCGCGCGCTAACGAGTCCCTATTATTCGGGGGCTGCAAATATTTATCGATCTCGACGATTACGCGTTATCGTTATTAATCGCGCTCGCACGCGCGGGCGCGGCTGCCTGTAACGAATAACAATATACACGGTTCGAGACCAGTTCTATCGCAAATAACCGCGGCAAATGATAACGCCCTCCGTATCGTATCGGTGTTTCGGTAATTTAATAATGCGTTCTATCGTTCCCCGTGTATCGACGTGATTAAACAGCGTCGTTGGTCGATGTTTTCAGCGATCCGCCCGTAATTTCTATCCTAGGTCGACCGTAATCGACATTCCTTCTCATCGTCGAGCTACGAGCTAGGTTCGAACGATATAAACGTTAAATGTTGCAATATTTTTATCATCCAAAACGTCCGCTAACGGCCACTGCTCGAAACGAGATCCAGTCGAGCAATTAGTCGTCGTTTACGTGAAAAAACGGTTCCTTTCGCGTCCGCAAATTGTTAACCGTGGTTCTCGGGATCTCGAAGCCTCCGCGTGCACACGAACGCTGGGCTGTTCATTAATTATGTTCCCCGCCAGTGCCTGTCCTTATCACGAAGAGTAATTGCTCGTCAGTCGGTCGAAAATATCGATCTCGACCGATGAAAACCGCGACGATACAGCCAGTCGTCGTCCGGAGAATTGAATCCTTAATGCGGTCGAAAGATCGAAACACGGAGCTTCAATGGAATACCATTTTGCACGTAATTGAATTCGTAGACCTTCGAATAGGACCGAGGGAAATGGAGCTTTAAGTATGATCTCTGACGTCGGATTTTCTTAGAGAATAAATGTATCTAATGAATAAGGAAACGTTGCTTCGTGGAAGCGCAAAGGAACTATTAGTAATTTTAGAGATTGGGAGTCTCGCTCGTCTGGAATCTGTCGGAACGTAAAACGTATCAGTTCTACGAGCTTGTCTAATTTACATTTTCGTCCGATGAAATCTGCTTACGAATTGTACGGGACTCGCGAAACGCAATGCCGTACGTTAGGGGTTGATTTCTCGCGAGGAGTCTTTGAAATTTATACAAGGTGTTCGACCACCACTGGGAAAAGTTTTAATGGGCGATTCTAAAGGCCAAAATAAGACGAAAATCAAGAATATCAATTTCTTGACTGAGGCTTCGTTAAAAAATTATTAAAAAATTAAATTAAAAAATTCCAAACCATTCTGAAAAAAATATCTTTGGTTGCGGAGGTCAATTATAATAATTTTTGGTCATTACACATACCCCAGAAATCCTACTCATTTTCGAGAAAAAAATTCCTTACCGAAAATACAATGTCTGACCATACATTGATATGTTTCCCTGAAATTTCATGTGTATCTTTAGAATATAATAACTCCTGAACGGATTGGAGGATTGTAATGTTTCAACCGGCAAATAACGCGTATTTTAGTTGAGAATATGTAGAAATTCTAACAACATTGAAAAAGTTGTTCCTTGACCCCGTAAAATGAAAAAACCCCCATAAAACTGGATCAATTTTCAAAGGACCATAACTTCAACAATAGTGAACGTATCTCATTGAAATTTAGTAGTCAACTAGAGCCCATGGGTACCTATGCAAAAGTATTACACAACTTTTCTGTAGAGTGTCAAACAAAATGGGGTCAAACAGGGGGTAGGTGTCCAAATTTTTCGACGAGAAAAAAAATTTCAAATCGTTTTGGAAAAATTATTTTCAGTTGCGGGGGACAATTACAATCATTTTTGATGAACAGATATACCCCCGAAATTCTGCGCATTTTCGAGAAAAAAATTCAGTACGGTCGGAATTTTAAACGTTAATAACTTCTTAACGAAGCCTCCATTAACAAATTGGTATTCTTGATTTTCGTCTTAATTTGGCCTCTAGAATCTCCCATTAAAATTTTTCCCAGGAGTGGCCGAACACCGCTTATAACAAGAGTAATTAGACTGTAGATCTTTATGCAAAATCATGTTTTTATTAATAGAGAGCTTTGTAGAGAGTTGTCTCAACCCCTAAATATAATAATTCGTATTTCAGCAATCATTACAAAGTCTAAAATTATCCTTGCAACGTATTGTAAATGCAAAAATTTTATAAACTATATCTACTATAATCTATATTCTCTTGTTCGTACTAAAGGGTTTTCCTTCCCATTGATAAACGACCAATAACAATACTAAAATAGCATCCATTATAATATTATTTTTCTCGTAAAAAGAAGACGTTCGAGGTGTCAACTAACATTCTGCTCGTGCATTTTTCTAAAATCCATTTCACCGTCGACTAACACGATTTCTTCCAACCCCTCCTCCCCTCCCAGGTCCCCTGTTCGAATAACTCAAAGTTGATCGAAACTTCCGTCCGCCGTTCCCTCGAATGGCCGCGAAACGAGCTTCCTCTTCGCGAATTCGCGTCGCGGGTTAAAGATAAATGCGCGCACTCCCGGGAGAAGCCGCGAAACTGTTATCGCGACAGAAAGAAGGACGAGGGCGTATCAGTAGGTGGGGGTGGGTGGGTCGGGATACAATGAATGAACAGCAGCGTACGTTACACACGTATGCAGATCGAGTCCGTATTCACGGTGCTTTCCGGTGGCAGTGCAATCCCCCGGACCAGCCACAAAACAGTACACCCTCTCGGCTCAAATCGATTAACTCGATATCTTTTCTGTCCTCCCGTTCCAGAAAGTGCCCCTGTCCCTGCCACCACCACACCGAACGCCATTCACCGGACGTTCAACTCAGGTTAGAATCACGCAAGAACAAACTCCTTTTCCAAGCTGTTGAACATGCTGCCTAGACGTTCTATTGCCACCGAAATTGTGTAGAGATCGGTATGCTTGTGCTCGTCTGTCGCTGGCTAGCATGTGCGTTGCTCTACGTGCTAGTATCTGTGTGCCGGCTCGTGCTCTATCAGTGCATGCACGTCTTCTCCATTTAGCGTTAATTAATGCAATCCACTCGACGAACCCCCGATCTCGGATGGTTTTGTTTTACGAGGGCCGGTCGAGCTGACTTTAACCGGTGAGTGGTCCGTTTCGCTGATCATCGCGCTACGCGTTCGCTCGTCTCCTCTAATTATCGACAAATCATTCTACAAAGCGATAATCGTCAAGATTTCGTGGACACGCATGCTCGACCGATCCTCCACTCCTGACATCTCCGCCTCCGTGCTGATGCTCGATAATTCTTGGCGTTTGCGATTTCTTATACGAAAGCTACATTAAACGGAGCATGGATAATATCGAAACTGCTGTGCATTTTTTCGATAGAACAGAACTGAATAGTTCGCACGAGCAACTTTTTTTTCAAATTACAGCGATCCGTTCCGTAGACTATAATTGCGTTCCAATCAACGGACACGCGAGTGTTTCTTTGTATTTATTACGACACGGACGAGATTTTACATAGCGTTCAGCATGAGCTCAATTTTCTTGTATATCAACACGCACAGGGTGCCTCGAGGCGAATTGTAATCGCCTTTGAGGGATGTTTCGATTTAAACTTTCCCATTTAAAAAGTGATGTGTTCCGAATTTTGAAACAGAGGGTCGCTTAAACTAATAACAAAGTGGTCGAGTATAAAGTTGCGTCGAAAAATAATTTACGGAAAATCTCCGCCCGCGGGTGGAGGGGGGGGGCGAAACTCGTTTATCCAATTCTCCGCTTCCCCCCGCGATTAAAATATCCACGGCAATAACTCAAGTTCAGACGGGTGTCCTTCTGGCTCGATTTTTTTCTGTTTTTGTTTTCGTCGACCTCAACTTTCGAAGTTCCATTAAAACTTCGGGTGAAATTCGTTTCGAATGTTAGTCACGGCCGACGCCACGGAATTCGCGGATACCCGCCGCCGGCATTTGCATAGAGTATTACACACAACCGAATTTAAGTTCACTTACCACAATTTGCTGAACCGGATCTCGTAATTCTCTGCATTAATAACGCGCCACGGTTCGTTGCTATTTTCCTGCCTAATTTCGATCCAACCACTCAACTCCGTTTCGCTCGAGTTTTATCGACCATGGGGCATCGATGATCCAACATTTCACGCTCGGAAAGTTAAATCATAAGAATTGGATTAACGCGTTAAAGCGACCATTTATATGCATAGACGTTTTCAACGAAACTCCGCTCGCACTGTGCACGTAATCGTTAACCCAGAAAATGTTATGGTACAGTCTTATGCGAGCATTTTTCGACAACTCAATTTCAACTAGCGTAAATCGAGGTTATCCTCGAATATTACTCGAGTGCAAAATGTTATACAAGAGTGGAATAAATAAGAACAATATTCCTTGGTTATTCGGGCATCCAAAATTAAACTAGAATACGAGTCATTCGCGGTACATTGGGAAAGATTTAGGTAGCTTTCGCGAGCTGCTGTACGTGGTTCCTTAAAATTCGAACAAATTGAAACTTACTCGATCGAATCGAAGCGTGGCATAAAATTGTACTTTGGCATTGAAATTGTCAATTTTTAACGCACGCCGCGTCGCTTGCGCGATGTTGTGGCTTGAAAGCTGCTTGAGGGAGCCTGCAAGATTCATAAGACCGTAGACGCAACATTTCCCCGTGCGAATAAACGAAAGTTGAGTAGGGCCGAGGACGGAATATTTAAACAGCCGATTTCCAATGTGTGTTGCAGCCGCTCAAGCGAATATCCTGGGTCCGGAAGACGTCTACGTGAAGAAGGGCAGCACGATAAGCCTCACGTGCACCGTTAATGTGCAAAGTACACCGCCCAGCAGCGTTTCGTGGCATCACGGAGGAGCCGTGGTGGATTTCGACAGTCCCAGGTACAAGCCACGAGAATCAAGTTCCCAAGTTTGTTCCCATAATGCCCCCTCGTGCGTACCTATCTGCTATATTCTAAACGGCGGTCTATCCTTGCTTTCGATCGTTTGCGTTACGATTATTGCTGCACGATGACCAACACCGGTCGTAAAACCAATTCTTACGAACGTAAATTCGAATTTGAATACCAACGAACGTTCGAAACGAATAAAAGAATCGTAAGGCATTTAAAAACCGTAGTCTGTTCACGTGCTCGTGATAGCGGCCGTCAAGTACTTGCAATTAGTCATGCGACAGGGTCATTGAATCGACCGGGTTTATCGCTGATTGCTAACTAGCATGCACGCGTGTAGATTCAATTGTTTCTTAGCTCGTTAACCTGCAAATTGAGTAATTTCTCGATCGCAAATGCTTAGATTTATTGCGGCTTGTCATGCAACTAACACGAGTAACATTATGCGGTTAAATACGCGTGTTTCTTTATCTTCTAAAGTTTATCAATTTCCATTGAGAATCAAATGAAAAATTCCAAGGCGACTCGCGTCTTTCCCGTGTCTCTGACGGACTAAACTGCGAAAGGATCGCGTAAAACTTGGCGTATACTTCGTCGGTACGTCAATTCGAATGTAGTAGTTTCTACTTGGACGCGAGCCATGAAATTCCGAACTTCGAACTTGCGATGTTCGAATTGGGAATTCGCGAAAACGCGGGAAATAGTGGGCATGTAAACAGCCTCGTTAAACAAGCGATGGACGCGAAAGAGTAGAAGCTCGTCCCGCGAAAGTCGGTAAACCTTAGAAACTAGTAGCAAAGTATTATAAACCTGTGTCGATGTGTGAACAGTACCAAAGTATCTTTGATAATTCAGCGTTCACCGCAGGGGCGGGGTTTCCCTGGAGACGGAGAAGACGGAAAGCGGCACAACGAGCAGACTCCTGGTGACGCAAGCCAGATTGACCGACAGCGGAAATTACACCTGCATCCCCAGCAACGCGAATCCAGCCAGCGTAATGGTCCACGTGCTGAATGGTAAGAGACATTTTTATTCCACGAATTCGACCGTTCCCCTTTCCATCGGGTTAACGTAATATCTACGAGGCTCCGGCAACGATATCAGTCTTGCGCCCAGACGTAGCTGCGCCGTAACACACAACTTTCTTAATATCGATCGGCACTCTTCTTGCGACACCGCTTATCCTGTCTGGAGGAAGCTCGTCACGATTCTTTTCTTGCGAGAAGTGTCACCTAGGCGTCAGCTATCTACCCCACGATCACCTGGCTATGATTTTAGATCGATCCTGCAACGTATGCGCTCCCGAGATTGAGCACGCGCGCAACCTCCATTCGTCGCCCGTGTCGAATTATCCGGAAACTAATATCTTTCGGATAGAAGATAAAAATGTCTTTAAAATCAAATTTTGTTTCAAGTTGATATCGTAGTTCCGAAAAAAGAAATTATTTACGAACAAAATGCAGGTATGCAAACTTAAATTCATTTTCAATTAAATATATAATTTATAATCCAGTTTTATCGCACACCGGTCGTATAATCGATAGGAATTGCTGAAACTTTTTTGGGCGCATAGAGTCAAAGTAAATTTAAAAATAAACATGGAAGACAGCATAAATTATAGTAGATGATACGATCATTAGATAGAGGTTGAGATGCCCTTTAAAACGAGCGTTCGAACAAATCGATAGCGTTATTAGTTCCGGAGATATGAGGATTTTTGTTTAAAGTCGATGCGGTGGCTAGTTTCGAAGATATAAGGGTCCAGAGTGTTTGTTTACATTCTTACTACGGTCTTAGCAAGGTTGTTGACCGCACGTGCTCGTAGCAACTCGGTCACTCGGGCACTCGGTCACGAGTCACGTACGAGAAAGAAAGGTCCGGCGCGACAGAAAGCGTCAGACCTTTACATAAGTTATCATATCTCAAAAACGGAAAATCGGATGGACAAAATTCAAAAACCATTTTAAAGAAGAAGCTTTGCCGCCGCTAACAATGGCTCAGTTATGGAGAAAACATTAATTACTTCGAAACTACACGTAATTAAAGTTTTGGTAGTTTCAATACGCGTTAGTAGCCTGTTTTAACACGGGAGGAGCCACAGTAGAGTTTTTAAAAAAATTACCCCTTTACATAAATCACGATATCTCCGAAACGGAAAGTTGGATCGGCAAAAACCAGAAACCATTTTAAAGGGGAAGGTTCACCGCTTCCAACAATGGTTCAATAATGGATAAAACACTTGTAGTTTTGAAACTGTACGTGTCTAAAGTTTTAGTATTTTTAATATTCTAAGACGGTGGAAACTGGAGATTCTCTCCTGTTATTTTCGCTATATACAATTTCCTATTTACATAGAAAGCTAATCAGGATCGTATACCAAATTTTGTTCAGGTTTCTACAAAAAAATATAAATATTAGATGACCGGTCGTGGTAGGCAAGACTGAATATTTTTCTCAGGAACAATACTCAGTAAGAATACTATAAGAAAAGTTGTGAAGTTAAATGGCTAAAATAACACTGTATATTAGAAATTGTAAACGAAATTTTAAAAATAGACCGACCAATTGCAGTAGGATTTCAATCGTGGTGTTTCCTTTCGTTTTGGAAAAGCCTCCCGATGGACAATTCTGTATTTTGCTGTATTACTCTACATGTTTACGTGCTCTAGAGCGTTTTGCTGCAACTCAAATCACGTTGAAATTTGTTAATAACGCAAGAGATTTCAGATTAAACCGCGGTCGTTCATTACCGTGTACTTTGGATTATTTCAATCAGCCGTTTCTGCGGGATTGATTGACGAAGGTCTGACGGACCAGACCTGCACGATATTCTGTTCGTTATTGACGACAATTTAAAAGGATTTGTATAATGTAAAAATCGTAATTCTTGACAAAACCATTTGATATCGATTATCAAATCTAATTGCATCTTATGTTTCGCGATGCAAACCGTTCTCTTTCCACTCCAAATTCAACTATTCGGAAATCACGTTTTCGTAATAAAAACAAAATTGAAAATACATTTATTGATAAAATATTCCAAGCGTTACCGTGCGTGATACAAAAATGGTCCAAAAGTTCCTTCGAATCCTGTCCAACGTTTCATCTTCGACGCAAGATCGAGGGAAATTTTATCCCCGTCGATTTATTTTTATACTCGGTTGACGCTATCCGTTCGAAATCTCTGCGCCGGAGTTTCCCGATACGACGTCGTTATGCGAACCGTTTTAGGCAGATATCTCTTTTTGCACGACACGCGCGAATCGTTCGAAAGGTTCCGAGTGTCGCGTCATGCACACGCGCCTCCATAAACGTCGCGCGCAAATCCGTTTAAAAGGAGGAATCGCGCACGAAAGGATTAACAACCATCCTGTCGGCCATATTGTAAATACTTTTGCGCCTCGTCTCTCATAATAATATTAAAAACAGACAAAGTGTTAGTCGTATACTTCGTATAAAAAAATCTCTTTGAAATTTGTCTCGATTGCAATGCTTTATCGTGAGTCGAAAACAAAGTTCGGGAACATTCGTACAGAGCGATGAGACTCCACCGGAGGAATTGGAACGTTTACAAAGTTGTTCCCGTGCTTTTAATCGATTCTCCAGCGAGTGCCTCGGTTCTCATAAGTCAACGTCAAGATTCCATCGAGAATTTACATTGCATAAGTACATCTTCGGGCTGTTGCGCCATCGCGAACGAAGCCAGTAACGTTTTCCATAACTCAAACGTCACGGTCAAAGTTCGCCCTCCCGTGCGTGACCGTGAATCTCATTTACGGCGCAATTATTCGACAAATTCAACGAGTAAAGTTTTATAACGCGTCCAACGCGGTGCATAATTTCGTGCGATGTTCCGAGTATCGATAAATCGTTTATGTTACGACGAGAAATGACAATTACGATTTATTCTGTGTTGCAGCGTAACAGTAAATTCATAAAGCCAGCGGATGTAGAGTCAGACCTTTCGAACAATCAAGTTTTGCGTATAATCAAGTGCCATTAAGACGGCTATTTAATTATTAAATTCATTCAAATCTGCATGACACTCGAAATCCAGGCATTCTATGACTTTACTACCTGCAATAACATCGAAAACCCGTGCCAGAAAACTCCAGACGAGGGAAAATTATTAAAAATAACGGTTACATGCCACCTCCCATCGATCAACTTCGCCTCCAAACTGATTGGCCAGCATATTTGCAATATTTGACCAATCTAAGACCGATGCTGCCTCCCATGGCCTTGGATACGCCCATGGCTATGGTTAGCTTCTTGGGGAACCTTGGCCCAGAGACCAGATCAAACTTGACTCTTAAACATCATTCATCATAGTACATTCAAAACTTTGTACATTTCGGCTATCCGACGTAGAATAAATTGTTATTGCTTGTTAGAAGATTCCACTGATTGTGATCAAGTTGTTACCTTCCGTACCCCACAACTATTCACTCGTCATTAACGTTGACGCGTGAAGTTAAGCATAATCAGAAAGTTTCTTTCGCCAAATTTAAATTATTTTGCTCAACCCCTCAACAGTTTATTCTAGTATCGTCCATACGAATGGACGACACCTCGAAAATCAAGGGACCATCGAGCATCCCAGCGCCCGGTTCGACGTCGAAGACGTATCGTCGGCCCTTTACGTCGCGATTGTTCGACAAATTTCCCGACAATGGCTGTCCCCGTGCAGCGAGATGCAACATGAATGGCTCCCGTAACAGAGGCAGAGGCGAGAGAAGGAAAAGGGACGACGTGTTCATTCATCAAGCATCGGAATCCCTCGTCATAAAGTTTGACAGGCTCGTGTATTGGGGCCGCGGCAAGTACTTCGGCCCTCTCACGCATACTCTTGGCTCTGATCTATTGTCAGCCGGCAACACTCGTGGTAACGCGTGCAATATCTTGCTCCGGCAAGTTCGCCAATCCAGACTGTCAATCATCGGCCGGGGCTCCCGCTCACGCACCCTCCGCCAGAAAGTCCCGGTGAAACACGTCAGCCGTGGAAGTCGACGACTTACTTTCTTCGCGGCGATGTAATCTCATTGGCGGATGTACCGTTCGCCCGTTTTCGGAGGAACAATCTCCCGACAGCTGCCTTAAAGTTCGTCGATCGGGTCGTTTGTTTAATAAAATTCCCAACTACGGTGCGCGCTTTCGAGCCACCGGTGAAATTTACGATAAGGTCGACACACCTAATTTCGATACTGACTATAACAAAATTTGCAACATTAACCTGGACAGAAATTTGTTTATTCTTCTTCTTCTTGAGGGTTTAGGTCGCATCAACTATACGGGGTCATTAGGACGGATTTCTGTGCGTTAATATACAAGAGGTTCCGCATTTTTCCATACACACTTCAGCAGTGTGTTCTACAAGTAAAACTAAGACTAAAATGTTGTATAACAAATACTCCATAAATGCTTTGTTAAGGAGTTATAACAGAAATATGAACTGTGAATCTCGGTTGAGATTCAGGACATTGAAATAAGAAAAAAAAGTTTGCAAGCATTCGATATCGTTAGTTTCTTTGCAATTTATTGAACATGGGTATAATACTATATTTTGCCACAGAAGGTCCATAAATTATTACTTTATGTAACGATGAATAACTTCAACATCATTCACGAAGAGCATCAATTCAAACTAATTGTTTCTTTAGGTATAAATATCTTTTAAATCTGCAAATTTCTGCAAAATGTTTCGATTGGATATCAAACTTGAGATGTTTCTTAGCAAAATGGTATGCTATTTCTTTAACATTGTATTAAAGAATGGATAAAATTTGTGGCACCTTGACAAGAGAATGACATAGATAAATTTAAATATTTCTTTGTTTGTATGAACAGTACCTGACACATTAAACATGCTACAAGTTTCAGGGCGTTACGACGCACTAAATGTATAAAATTTATGGCGAAATTTTGTCAGCTTCTAAGGTCTATATAACATATAATAACAGATCTTTATATTTAAAAATTTCAAGTGGCATTTGATGCTCTGATATGTATACAATAAATGTTCCATACAGACAAGGAGCTTTTTGAACAAAAATTGCATTTTGGCCAGCTTTTCGACAAAATGGGCCACTGTGCGTCGTTTCAAAGCTCGATACCGCAGTAATTGCAATAGATTTGAACAATTTTTTGTAACCTAAAGAAGTATTCATCCTTTCGAACGACGCCGCGTTTCGAATTCTCCGATTCTAATCATAGTCACGTATTAATTACACTGTATGCCGGAAAAATAATGGAACTTTTTAAATTTAATGAAAGCTGCTAATGCCATCTATTGAAACAATATTGTAACGACTGGGATATTGGGAAGTCGTTAGAGGAGTGTATATATAGCAACCGAGGGGTCAGTCGAGCGCTTGTGAGAGCGCGACCCCTCTGGTGGCGAGCATGGGAGGCGACGTCACAGTATTATACTTGGGGAATTCGTTACACAGGGTCAAAATGTCAATGGTGAATATTATCTGGGTGTTATGGAGCTTTTATGGGAAAAAAATCGTTCGAGTGAGGCCCGAATATCGAGCGCCAGGAAGTTGGTTTTTGTTGCACGATAATGCACCATTTCACAGGACTGTCGCTGTTCGTGAATTTTTGATGAAAAAACAGGTCTGTGTGCTCCAACATCCTCCATATTCGCCGAACTTATCTCCATGTGATTATTTCCTATCCCCAAAACTCAAACTGGCCATGACAGCTGTTTTATAACAGTGTTACACAAGTCTAAGGCATGGTGACAACAGTTATTGAGGCGATTCCGCAAAATGACATAAAAAAAATCTATGCTGACACTAGTCGAACGTGTACAGCGGTGTATAGATACAGAAGGGATGTATTTTGAATAAAAAAAAATAATTTTGACAAAATGACTAATATTCCTCTTTCAATTTAAAAAGTTCCGTTATTTCTCCGACATACTGTGTATAGCGTTCGAGGCTCGCGGGCGTCCACGAATGCCAATCCGCTCGACGAATAATCATTTTGTTCCCTGACCAGCGCAACGCACCGAATTGTTCCGTTCTCATCGTCGGAATCACGCATTCAACCGAGGCAGAAGGTTGGCCGCGTCCGGTGCGGTGGCCCAACAATGAACTGCTAATCAACGCTGCATGAATTATGGCTCGAAGATTAGTGCACGCGATTCTATTAACGGACTTGAATCGAGCATACTTTCGGGCCGTTCCGATACCATCGATACGATTTCTAGAACAGCCGACGGCGTGCATCGATCGCGAGCGGATACCAACCCTCAAGCGCGTCCCTGAGCGCTCCGCGTCGCGACGATCCGCGGGAAAAGCGCCGCGCCGGATGAAAATTAATGCAGCGCATTTCGTCTGCATAATTAATTTACAATCGGGCAGACGCGAGGTCCTCGTCCCGTTCTGCCCGACCATCGACGTTATTTCAAACACGGCTGATTACTCTGCAAAATTGACCGCAAATTTCAATTATTTCACGATCAGACCGTACGCGACGCAGGATTATCCGTCCAGGGTGCTCGCTATCCGCGCATTAACGCAATTACCGGGCAACGGGACGAGCGCGACGCCATTTTTCGACGGTACGGCCGTTAGATCGAAACCGCGACTGTGCAGTTTGTTATTACAGTCCGTGACAAAACTCTAAGACGACCGTGGATTCGTTGAATTCGCTCGGTTGCTGCCACTGCCACGCGGTATTCGTTAATTTTAGCTCTCGTTGCGTGTATCGCAGGGAACACCGCGGCTCGCGCCTACGAAATTGATCGCAAGTTTCAATTATTCCGCGATCAGACCGTACGCGAGGCAGGATTATCCATCGGGGATGCGCGCTACCCGCGCATTAAGGGAATTACCAGGGTTGTGCGCGCACCGCAACGACGAACGGCGTCGTTTTTCGACGAAACGGCCACCCACTACCGAGCATTCGCCTCGCGGAATATCCGCGAACGCGCGAGATTTTCCGTTTGTTCGTAAATCGCAGGGAACAAGCGAGTAGAGGGACTCGCTTAACCGCGGTTACGCCGGCGTGATTATCTTTATTATGGACGGACGTAGCGCGCGTTCATCCGACCCGATACATCGTTAACATTTGTCTGGATATGGGAAATATATGTATGGAAATCGTGGTCCCTGTTCGGGGTAGTTCCTGATTAACGCTGGTTTGTTGCTTCTGCTGGCGTCCGTGCGTTTTAGCCCTCTGCGCTCGGTTACGACCCCCTCCTCATCCCTCACGCTTCCACTCCCTGGCTGCTGTCGCTGTTATTAATGGTTATTTGTAATGGAAGGAACAGCGCGACGGTGTGAATTACAAGTGTGTCCTGGAAATAGGTTTCGCGTCGCGGCTGAGGAATTTATTGGAACTCTGATTGCGCGGTCGGGAAAATGATTACGGTGTTTAGTGAATTTTCCGGAAAAATTTTTTCCCACGCGTTTAAAGCGTTATAGGAATAGGAACGTTTGTGTGCAGGGTGTTCGACATCCTTTTGGACAAAATTTAATGGATGATTCTAGAGGCCAAAGTAAGACGAAGATCAAGAATTTGTTGCTTGAGGCTTCGTTAAAAAGTTATTAACGTGCAAAGTTTCGTCTGTAGAACGGCAATCTGCGAACAGCTGTGTGCTCGCGATAGGTTGAGGCAGGTCGGTCATAGTGGCACAGATGAGTAGACCTTATGCCTTATGGACTTTCGTGGCTCAATTGCTATACCGGTCTAAAAATTCAGAGGTAATTTTAGCATCCTCGTTCAGTTGAGACACCATTCACTGAATTCTTATTGATAGGCGGACAGATGTAGTGTATACGTAAATACATGTGAGTTGAAAAAGACAGACAATCCAGTATTATCTGGAAACTGTCCCTACACACACTAATTTTCGCACACTAATGCATAGCTACTTTGTATAATTAGTTCTGGAGCCTCGTATAGCTTCAGCGATTCGAGGAAGAAGTAGTTACTTCTGATGGTCGCCTAGAATAGTGACTGTATTTCATTGAAATTTATTTATGAAGTAAAGCTCATAGATACCTACAAGGAAGTATTAAACAATATTTCCGTAGAGCGTCTAACGAATTGATTAAAAATAAAAAACGACTTGAGAAAAATCGACAGGTGCTAAAATGTTTCGACGAAAAAATTTTTTTCAAATCGTTCTGAAAAAATTATTTCTAGCTGTGGACGCCAATTATAATCATTTTTGGTGAATAGACATACCCCCGAAATCCTAACCACTTTCGAGAAAAAAATTCCTTACCGAAAATATAATGTCTGACCATACGTTGATATCTTTCCCTGAAATTTCATACGTATCTTTAGAATATAATAACTCCTGAGAGGATTGGAGGATTTTAATGTTTCAACCGGCAAACAACTCATATTTTAGTGGAGAATACGTAGAAATTCTAAAAATATTCGAAAAGTTGCTCCTTGATCAAATAAAATGAGAAAAAACCCCATAAAAATGGACCAATTTTCAAACAGCCATAACTCCTACAATAGTGAACATATCTCATTGAAATTTTGAGTGGAAGTAGAGTTCATGGATACCTACAGAAACGTATTAGACAACTTTTCTGTATAGCGTCAAACAAATTTATTAAAAATGAGAAACGAATTTTTAAGAAAAATTGACAGGTGGCTAAATTTTTCGGTGAAAAAAGAATTTCAAATCGTTCTAAAAAAATTGTTTTTAATTGCGGCGGTCAAGTACAATAAATTTTGCTGAATAGATGTACCCTCGAATTCCTACCCACTTTCGAGAAAAAAATTCGAGTAGTTGACAAAATTAAAACATTTCAAATTGTTCTAAAAAAATTATTTTCAGCTGCGGGGGTCCATTATAATCATTTTTGGTCAACACGCGTATTCCCGAAATCCTATGCACTTTCGAGAAAAAAAATTCCTCCGCAAAAATACAACGTCTGACCATACATTGATTGATTCTCCTGAAATTTCATGTGTATTTTCAAAAAATCATAACTCCTGAACAGATTGGTCGATTTTAATGTTTCAAAGTGCAAACGACGCGTATTTTGTTAAAGAATATTTAGAAATTCCAAGACTATTCGAAAAGTTGTTGCGTAACCCTGTAAAGTAAGAAAAACTCCATAAAAATGGTCCAATTTTCAAACCGCCATAACTCATGCAATAGTGAATGTATTTTATTGATCTTACCGCTTTGCATTTCCTTGGTCTATACTGTATCGCTGACCTTGAAATCAATCTAATTATTGACCATCTATGACTATACTCCAACCATTCTTGACCATCGAATAACCAATAACTCATTAAAACCATTAGAAACTCGAAAATCAAAGCCTTTTTATGTGGGGGGATATAGAGGGAACAGGACGTTGTCAGGAATTCGAAAATAAAACACCTCCCACTCTTAATAACTGTGATATATTTAAACAAACCGTATATACAATGACAATCATACAATACAGTGACAATCCTCGTCAAAGTCTTCGTTGTAACTAACTTTTTGATATTTGGTCGCAAGGCTCGTTGTTCGATGACCTGGCCTGCTTGGCCTTGCCATCCCTTTGTTGCTTTCCCTTTTTCCAGTAAGAAACAAAACGACCTACGTCATGGGCACAGGGATTTCCCCCGTACCCTGTCCTTTCCAGGCTAAAAAGGCCCGTTAGCCTCCTACACTTACAAGTATCCCCTTAGAATTTGATGCACGATCTTCTTAAAATTTTGTTCCAGGCGAGCATCCGGCGGCCATGCAACACGGTGGAAGCTGCGGCGTGACGCCCACCATTCTGCTGGCGACCGCGACGCTTTTGATCGCCAATCTGCTAAGGTGAGCAGTCTCGTTGTGAACCGTGGCGACTTCGAAAAAGAGGGGGTCGGAACGTTGTGTGAAACGCGACCGTAAAGAGAGACCGCGATCCCTTTCGACCCACGAACCATGGATCGGGAATAACGGTGAACGAAAATAAAAGAGAACGAACAGGAAAGACAGGAAAAAGAACCGCTCCCCGCCGGCTCTCGGAGCCGGGGTAAATCAATTTAATTCGCGCGGTGATCGCTCGCCGTGAAATCGCCAGCGATACGAACGAACGGAAAGGATCGCGCGTGGACAAAGTGCAGCGAACAATCCCGTGCAATATACGCAGCGACGCGAACGTGGATCTTCTTTTCTCCGGACTCCTTCACAGCTCTCGTTCTCGATTGGCTGGGTGATTACGCCGCGAATTTCGAACGTGTGCATCGCGTCGCAAGGACCCTGGGAAATTAACGAAGATTCGACGCTCGTCGCTGTCGGACAGTCGATATTCACCATTGAACGGTGTTGCGTAGGTAGAGTAAGTTCTTCTGTATATAAAAAAAGTAACGGACGTTTAACGATAGGGTTCGTCGGCCTGGATTGTACAGTACAATACGTCCGAGGATCGCGGAACGTCGTCGGATCTGGGCAATGATTTGTACATAGAATTCGCGCGAGGTTACCGAATAACCGACATCCGGTCGATTTTAACGAGCACCGTCGAACGGGCTGACATTTGCACCGCTTTACATCCTCTGGATATTTTTTCAGTACTTTATTCTTGCCTGTCGACAAGAGCAACGAGGGAAGAATTTAGTATTTGCGCGAAAATATCCGAAAATCCGAATTTTACAAGCAACTTCCAACTTTGAACGGACAAGTATAGAGATCGAGGAGCGAATCGCACTTTTCCTTTTACTAGTTTCCATACGATTCGAAATTAGTATAAATGATGCAAAATCGTTCCGTTTGGCGGTGATTGCGATCGAAGCGTGGGATTTTTCTTAACGAACGTTCGTGGTTTGCCGAGGTCCACCGTTCGAAAGATGACTGTAATTCGGAAACGACGCAATCGGCCTGCGAGTTAGCGAACGATCCCCACGGGACGCTAAGATCGTTCTTCCAAAGAGCGTTTCCCTTCTTGGAAGGCTTTCATCGTTGTTTCCAGTCGTTTTAGGAACGATAATAGGTACGGTAATCGTCCTCGATATGTTTCTGTTTGCTCGACGCGGAACGAGTAACAACGGGGAACAGGTAAATCATTGAACGCGTGTTCTTTTTATCGTCCCTTCTCTTGCACACGCGAGCACCCGGACGCGAGTATGTGACCCGGATTGTCGTTTAACGTCTAATCAAAATGCAATCACATTCGATACCTCGTAAGGACCGCGAGCTCTATGAACGAGTCTTAATCATGGAGCCCGTATAGATAAGAATAAATATAATTGTATATTTAAGCGCATCGGTAATAGTACTATTTGCTACGTGCTTGGAAAAGGACGTTCCGTTGTTGTTCGAGAAACGTAACGATTGTGTGTGTAAATCCGATATCGAGAATGTCTGTGAAATCGCCCGATGAGCGCGCTTGAAAGGGCATGATGCAATGTGCATGAATAATATAAATCTCGTCGTTTCACGAAAAATTTCATTTTCGTAGCGTATTTCTGCGTCAAAGTCTTTCCGAGAAAGAAGAAAAAAAAAAATATATATATATATATAATATATATATATATGTATATCGAAAAAATTCATCGTTCCACTTTCGGTCTCGAGAGTGAACGAGTACTCATCGAAACGGTGCTAAGAAATTGATTACGTTCTTCTATTATAGGTCAGGACTGAGAATCTTTTTTCCCCCCCCTCAATTTCTGAAATAACCTCCCCGAAGGACCTGTCGAGGTCTTCGTCGCGGCGTAAGGACACGATAGTAGTTACTTGATTAAGTAGATTTACTACAATGTAACGTTAACGAGTAAACGAAGCAAACCACGATATCATAACGTCTAGCGTGTTAAGGTGTGAACTTACCCTTGATAGTCTAAATAGATTTTTTATAATGTTGTAACACGGAGGCGATAGGATCTACGGTGTAAAACGGACTGCCGGAACACGTTCACGTATGTTGTGATTGAGAGAGGTTTCGAACGCGGAGAAAAAGTTATGGTTCGCGATATATTATTCCTTCCTGTATAGTTTATATACGGTAATTTATGTCGTTGTGAGAGGACAATATTTTGAAGTTGACGCGCGAGAACGGTGACGAGAGCACGAAGCACGGACGACACACGTTTAGGCGAATTAATATATTAACGATCACGAGACGCGACAGAGAAGAAACGAGCGTTCGTCGATCGTCGATCGATCCAGCCAAAGTTTTCGAACGTTGATCGTACGGTATCCGCGCGTCGAGCGATTTGAACAACGTTGGAAACAAGAGGGACGTTATCGGTGAAATTTCATTCCAATCTTTGTCGTAAACTTTTTTCTCGAACCTTCGATGCTCGGTTCCTTTCGACCTCGACTCGGTGTCGCGCAACGAAACGAACGAATGGCCATATCGACCCGCGGGCTGATTAAATCGCTGGTCAAACAGAAAGATATCGAGAAACATCGTTATTACACACGTTAGATAATCGATATCCGCGACAGTTACAGAATGTTGCACATTTATAGGTAAGGGTTAGATCGCATTGTACATAAAATCCATAATCGATAATGTATCATGTTATAGAGGAACGTCAGCACGAATCAAAGAGACACAAGACAAAATCGGCGAGAACGAGTACGGAATATTATACTGTAAAAATATTCATCGACGTGAATACTGTTTCAATAAATGTAATGATGATATAAAACGACTCACGGTTTCGTTTCTCCCGCATCATTCGATTTCTTTTCTATGTATTCTATCGGGGAGATGGAGGGGAGTGGGCATCGACGAGGATAGTGTTTCAATAAAGTAACGTCGATACGAAGACGAGTTTTCTTTTCTACGGTGACGAGCAAAAGAGCAAACCTGCGACGCGACGTATCTGTTTAAATTGTTAATGCTACTATGATCGACTAGAGAACTAAATTTTTTAATATTAGAGCGTGACCAGCATTAAATGTGACCAGCAGGTAAGTATTATATATATTATAACTCCCACTGTGTGTACGTAAACAAATTTTTAAAGATTAGTGAGCAACAAGAGTAGTTAAAACGGTAATAAAATCGGTAACTGTATTTTCGTCGCAGGCCATTTTCCTGAAGACGAGGAACATGCTATCTTGTGTTTATGCTTCTTCAAGACACTGAATCGAGGCTCAAACAAGGATGGTCCTGTCTTCCCTAATAGAACGGCTCTAAGGACGCAACAGAATGGAGGACACGTCCACGAACTTTGTATCCAGGCTTCGCAAGGTAAGATAACCGAGGCCAATCTTAAGTTTAAACGGTAAAAGAGAAAAAATAAATTTCGTTAGGAACGCTCCAACGGTGTTCGATGTTGCATGATTCGACGTGCGTTGCATCCGCTCCGAAAATGAAAGCGTTTAACGGTTGCGCGTAGTTTTGGTCGCGATCCAAATCAGACATTCGCGATCGACACGAACGATTCCGCAGAAAAATTCCGCAGATAGGGCGACCTGAAAATTCGATCCGACGATTCATCATCGTCGACGACACCGCGGCCACAAGAAGTGTCGCTTAATCTCGCGAATGTCAAATTCTCCTCGGGACATTTTCAGATTCAATCTCTCAAGCTTCCGTTTGCCCGCGAGAAAAAAGAAACAGCCGGATAATACGCTTACGACAAAGCGCCATTACGTCATATTTCCCCAGACGCCCGAGTAATCAATTTTGTCCGTCGCCGAAAAAACAATCGACCGGTACCGAAGTGTCTCTCGACATCATCCGTGGGCGCGAACACCGACATCCGGCCTCGAAGGTACACCAGGACTCGATGCAATCATTCGACTGCGAATCCGTCGAGCCCGAAAGAAAAACAACTATAACGCGATGTTATCTGTTCCTAGCCGGCGTGTACCCTCCCCGAAACTTGTTTCCCTGCCCTACGTCGCTTTCGCGTCCCTTGGCGTTCTCTTTTCCACCCTACCGCGATTTCTTTCGTCCATTTTTCACTTTCTCTGTCTCTCGTACCCCACGCTCCTGGGAGAGTAGTCTCACTGACAGCCATTCAAGATTTCAAGTTTAGGGAGATGGATTCTGTCGACGGTCTGGTTAACTCGATTAATCAGGACCAGTTCTGCAAAGATTCTAAAATTCAAATCCCGGGGGGTTGTTATTCCTAAATATGACGGAAATAAAATTCACTCGGCTTCACCTACCTTAGAGGGCTACTACGGTCTTGTCTTTCTCGCAAGCGCTCGACTATATAGGAATAGACAAGAGCAGCCCTCTGGTGGCAAATACAGGAGGTGACGCCATAAATTTAACATCAAAAGCCCTGACGACCTACGATATTTTACTCAGAAAATATCAGTCAGGACTAAGATTAAGCAGAGTTTACTCGACACTGGCCACATTTCCTTACTCCCGTGCCCCTTAATACGGGACTAACTTTTCTTTCTTGTTAAGCTGCTTAGTAGTTAGGCTTAGAGAGAAGAAACGAAAGGTTCGAGGTTCAAATCCCGGTCTGACCAAGTTGATTCCACCTGCGATTCTCAGCGTTGGGATTAATCGGTGAACCTTCGTGTTATGTCAAGTTTCGAGCATGGTCTGGGTGGATCGTGCACGTTATCCAACCGCCATCCGAGGTTTTCAACCAGAGAAAAAGTAACCTGTCCGAATCGGTCTAATCCCCTGACCTAGCGAACCGGCTCGTACAAAACTGTGACACGCGGGTTCCCTACCAGTTTAAACTTTACGAAGTTTCGAGATATTCTTTCTGTAGTCAAGATTGTCCGTTGTAATAATTATCGAAATCTTAATATTCTAGACACGAAGAAACTACCATAGTCGTATAATTGGCGAGCGTTGTTAGGTTGGAACAATGCAAATTTCCGTCAAAAAACGGCGACTGACAGTTCGCGGCGTTCCCTTGTCAGTGTCTAACGAAGATCGAGTCTATCGACAACGCGGCCACGTAATTGGATGATACTGATTTCGAGTCCCGGGGCCGCGTGCTAAGCCACTATTATCCAGTCGTGTGTCCGTCAGCGAGTCTCCGGAGACGATTTCGGAAAAGCTTGCAATCCCCGCCCTCTCTTCCCCGGCCGAAATTGTCGGACAGCAGGTGGGACCGGTTCGATTCATTAATTGTGACAGCAGCGAAGCTGGGTTGGGTCGTGGCCTGCGCGCCGGATAGCCCCGAAAAGCTTATCCCGTCGTTCGTTTTCGGGCCGGGACGCGAGCGCGGGGTAATTTCCACACGGAAAACCGGACGCACACGGAGACAGAGAAATCGTCGCGCGCGCGATCATGGCAGAACGAGAGAACCGGAT